GAGGGTCTCCAAAGGGCTGTGGATTATGTGAAAGAAAAATCGAAGTGTAGTGTCAGGTGTGTGTGGGAAGCTTGGAGAGGTTTCTTGACTAGAGGTGCTGCAAGTACGTGAAAGGACTCCAAGGCGGTGTGTGGGCTTGGGGTGTAGGCGAGTGCCTAAGTACTGGGCCCGGGGAAGTTTGTTCTCTGCAGGTGGCTGGTGGTGGTCAGAGCAGGTGACTTATGGCCAGTGGTAGGTGTGTGGGGGTGCAGGCGAGGTGTATTTTGGTCTCCGTGTGAGATGGTTTTAACTGTAAGAGTGGGATTAGGGCAAAGCCGGAGTCCCTGATATGGGAAGACAGTCAGTCTTTGATGAGTCAGTGAGATCTGCTGGGGGAGAGAAGAGTGTGAACAGCCTGGGATTTGAGGGTAAGGTTGAGCTCGTAAAGGAAAGAGAGGGTCTGAGGTGATGGAAACGTACTGTATGTCAGGACCTGCCCCACCGTGTGAGGAAGTGAGTAGTGGGGAGAGGGGGAGCTAGAGCTGTGAGGGATGGTGTCTGGGCAGTGGAAGAAATATTTTGTCCATGGACAAAAAAGTCTGAAAGGCAGTAGTCACTGGTGGCTGCTTGGACTGATAGGTAGTGTATGTTTTTAGTGACAGCTGCTCCCCACCACCCAATTGCCTAGTCATTTTAGTTAAAATCAATGCCCACTGAATTCCATTGCTAAAAGGAGGAAAACGGTTAAGTAGAAGTTGTCTTTGTTTATTTTTTAAATTTGAGGTGCTTTTAATACTTATTTTAAAAGACAGATTACAGGAAAGCTATATGTGCTGCTTCAGAAACTCCTTTAGAAATAACCTTTATATAGTGTATAGTGAAGGGCAGTGCCAAGCTGAAATGCTTGTTAAATGGTAATATTTGTCAAAGCAGTGTACCAACTTAATCTCAAAAATACAGTAGCCATGCTACTTTCAATAGAACTGCTCAAGTAAGGCAAATGCATAAGAACTGGCGGGTTCAGTTTGTGACCATTAGTTTAGCTGTAAATGCCATTCTAGATTTCAGTAGAACAATACAAATCTCGTAGGGTCTGCATTTCACTTACTTCTGGGTTTCATTTAGTTCAGAGGTGGGGAAAGATCTGTGGGTTCAGCTGGCACAGCATCAGTGAATATGGGAGAAGAATGCTGTTTATGTCTAACGAAGATCTAATTGGTTTCTGTTTTCAGCACTAGCTGCTATGTGTGTTTCAGAAACCCTTTAAGGTGGTATTTTTTATTTTACTAAATAATATCTTAGGGAACTGCAAGTAATACTGTTCAAACATAAGAAAAAAGCTGTTTTAGTGCTGAGCATCATCAGGTACTGAGGTAGGTTGCCCAGAGGCGTTGCAGAGTTTGTGTCTCTGAATGCTCAAAAGCTGACTGCCAAGCCTGCCCCGGCTGACCCCGCTTTATTCAGGAGCGCTGAGCAGGTGATCTGCAGACAATCCCTTCCAGCCTCAACTACTCTGTGGTTCTGGAATTAGTAGTCCAGAGCTTTTCAGATTTCATGAACTCGGGGTTATACATACTCTTCAAACATGTCTGTGTCTCTCCTGATACACAGGAGAACTGTTCAAATGGATCTTTACATACGTTGGTTTGGAATTGCTGTTTAGTTCCATAGGATTTGTAAGCTCTCTGTCTAAGCCCTTACAGTGTTCATCTTCAAGATGTTGCTGCCCTCGGCTTTAACTGACTTTGAATGTTGATATAAAAAGAACTATTTGGTTGATGTGAAGTGGACTGGTGCCACAGAGGCACAGTTAAGGTCTAAGCCGGATAATTTTTGTTAATACAGGGGAAAGGATCAAAAAAATCTGGAGGCTGAATCTACATGAAGATTTTTTTCTGAAGAGAGTGATAAGGTACAGTGCTTCTCTTGTAACATTAGAGCAGTGGGGTTTTTTCCTATCAGCTTGGTGTTTTCAGTGCTAATCTTTGTGGTGTCTTTTAAGACGATATTTGACCAGTGTTTTCTAAAACCCTTTGAATCACATGATTTGTACTGTGTTGGGCATCGTGTTACCATGGTGCATCAGTATGTTAAAAACCCTAAATTGAGTTGGTTATGTTGGGTGTGTGTGTTTGCTAGGTTTTTTAACAGTGTTCTTTAATGTTCAGGAAGAGCATAGAGAAGGCAGGAGTCTGTATGGTTCAGCCACCATGTCTGGAATTGGCAGTAAACGGGCAGCTGGGGAGCCTGGCCCTTCTGCCCCTCCAGAGAAGAAGGCCGGGGTTGAAGACTCAGGGACTACGGTGGAGACCATTAAGCTTGGTGGCGTTTCTTCAACGGTATGTCTTCCTTACATACCCTGACCCAGCCTCCTGGGTATTTTAATCTGAAAACATCACTCTGCCTTCTGTATGAGCCTCATGATCTGGCTTGTGTGGAATGATCCCTGACTTACGATCCTGCACAGGAGGAGATGGACATCCGGACACTACAGACCAAGAACCGGAAACTAGCAGAGATGCTGGACCAGCGGCAAGCCATTGAAGATGAACTGCGGGAGCACATTGAGAAGCTGGAGCGTCGGCAGGCCACTGATGATGCCTCTCTGCTGATTATCAATCGATACTGGAATCAGGTTAGTAACGTGCTTTGTGGTTTTTATATGCGCTGTTCTTTCTCCTGTCTATTCTTCTGTTTCCCTGCAGTCCTTTTATTCACATCCGTTCTTTGTCTTGTCTCACCTATCCCATCATTCAGTTTGATGAAAATATCCGCATCATCCTTAAACGCTTTGACCTGGACCAAGGTCTTGGAGACCTTTTATCTGAAAGAAAAGCGCTGGTGGTACCTGAACCTGAACCAGACTCGGACAGTAATCAGGAACGCAAAGATGAGAGGGAACGAGGTGAGGCACCTGACTGGGGACAGTGGAAAAGATGGATTTTGGCTATAAACAATGTTCATGTCCCTTTCTGAAGTGTGACAGAGGCTCTCTGATTGTGAAGCCTAGCCGTATGTTGCCTGCCAGAGCACATTTATTTTTTACATCTCTTTCTGTTCCCAGGCGAAGGGCTGGAGCCAGCGTTCTCCTTCCTAGCCACTCTGGCCAGCAGCACTAGCGAGGAGATAGAATCTCAGCTGCAGGAGCGCGTAGAATCCTCCCGCCGTGCTGTTGCCCAGATCGTGACGATGTATGACAAGCTGCAGGAGAAAGTGGATTTGCTGTCCCACAAGCTGAATAGTGGAGGTATGACCAAGGTGGCTGATCCCTGGCTGATACTCAAGAATTCTCACCTATGCCTGTCTTAGACATGATTCTGCACTGTAAGCATTAAGGCCTAGTCCTTCTCATGTTTGGCTGTTATCCAAAATAAATTGGCCTAGCTTTCCAAACTCTAAATAACCAAAACCTCTAATAACAATTAGTATTACATAATGGAGTGTATTACAACTGCCTCTACATTTGAATGCTGAGACCTTCGCCCAGTGTGTTGGGCTAAGGAGAGGCTTGTTTCTGTCACTAGTGTGTTTGTGCACCTGAGGAGTTACAGCTGACATTGAACCGTATCACCTAGCTGTTCTCAGCAACCGCATAAAGGGCTTCTTGCTTACAAGTGAAGAACTGGAATCAGTGTTGCAAACTGATGTTAGGCTCCTGACTTGCGGTTTAGTTACAGGAGTAGGAATAACCAGCTCCTCAATCTTCACGGAGTCTTGAGCAATATGGTAGCCATCTAATGTCCTGGTATGACTAGCATAGCTGTCAGCTCTGAACGCAAAGCAGAGTTCTGCAGAAGAAAGCCGAATGACCAGCTTCTGAAAATTAATGTAGCAGATTCAGTTTACACTCAGCTGACTCTCTGAAAAACCTGGTTAACTTGAGGTTAGATTTTTAGTCTTTTGAATAAAAATTTAGGTAGAGTATCCACTCATCCTTGGTTTTCCTTCTGTCCAGAGTGTTCTGTATGCTCTGGTCAAGGAGCTCTGGCAAGTCTAGCATCGGTGTAGCAGAGCATTATTGTCCTTGGTTGGCAGCCTTAAACTCTGTGTTGTGTGGTAGCGTTGACGTTAGTGTGATGTGAGCCTGTACTTGGTTGCTGGAATTGTCATCTGATATATTAGCACAAGCCACCTGTTGTAGCAGGTTTATGCATGGATGTGGTCTGCATTAGGGTGTCACTGGGCTACAAGGGCATGCTCTGTGTTGATGATACTGTCACAGTTGGAATAATCTGACGTTAGGGCATGGTAACTGACAATCAGAAATGTGTAGTACGTTAAACTGCAGAGCCCTTTGCTTAGTGATGCAAGTCAAAGCGCTGTGGCTGGAGATCAGACCCATAGAAAACACCTGCTGGAGAGATACACTAAGCAGAAGTTAAAACCAGGAATTCCCTTTTCCTGTTTGTTTTTTTCTCTCTTTGCTGTTCAAGAATGAAAAACAATCTTCCTTGTATTCTGTTCACTTCTTTGTGCATCTCTCAGATATTTCACTGATGGAAGAAGCAGTCCTAGAGCTTAATACCTACCTCTCACATGAAAATGGACGGCTGCAGGAGCTGGCTGATGTTCTTCAGGAGAAGCACCGAATCATGTCTCAGGAGGTACATAAAGAGTCACAGAATGGTTTGGGTTGGAAGGGACCTTATAGATCATCTAGAAACTAATCTGCTTTGGGGTCCTGCTTAGAATAATTGGTGGTTACCAGAATTTGGAAAGCAGGTTATTGGCTTGGAGAGGAACATGAGCGACAGGGTTTGAAAGTTGCCTTCTGAACAAAGGTTATGGGAAGGATTGTTGGTGTAGAGAACTGTACATAGATTTTCCATGTTTTCAGTTGATTTGCTTGTTGCATCACTTGAGTATGAATGAAGGAGTATAACCAAACCAGTGAGATGAATGGCTTTAATTTTAAAAGAAGGCAGATCAGAGGAAGTGGTAAGGTGATGCTAAGGTAGTTGTGCAAACAGCTGGGACACTTCAAGTGACATCCCCGTCACTTCAGATTACTTGGTTTCTCTCGGTCACGCGTGAAAGTGTAACAACATTAATTACAAGATGATCCCAGTCATTAAGGGATTGAGGTTACTGGCAGTATTTGTTTCAGAGGTTTCAGTGCCTGTCAAAAATGTGTCTGTGTTAATACTGGCCTTACTTGGTGTTAGACCACCCAGTACTTCAGTGGTCTGTAGAGTAGATGAATATACATGTCCATTTTCAGTTTTGTCTTATTTTCATTACTGTGCTGTGGGATTCACCTGGTGTAAAGTTCAGGACACTCTAAGTAGTCTGTCGCTGTACAGACAGGTGGAACTGAATCCAGCTGTCATGGTTTAGCCTTATCTGGCAGTTAAGTACCACTCAGTTGCTCACTCACCTCACCCCACTCCTGCAGTGAAGAAGGGTTGAAGGAAAAAAAAACAAACCCCATGAAGAAAAGCTTGTAAAAGTTGAGATAAGACTATTAAGTTGAGATAAGGACTATTTAATAATATAAATGAAACTTGCAGTGATATTAACAATACTACTGCTACTAAGTAATTCAAGCAATGGAAAATAGAACATAAGATACAGTATCTCACCATCCATGGACTGACACAGCCAGGTTCTAAAACAGCAAGCAAAATCTGAGCAGAGAGGAAAAACCCTGAGCCCGAGGAGAAAAAACCCCGAGAGCCTGAGGAAAAAAAATCCACCAACCCCCTCCAAACCACCAACAAAAGAACCTGCTTCTCATGCCAAGAACTAGAAGGAGCTATCAACCCAGCTATCAGCTAACCCAAAAGCCTTAGCGATCCTTCTGCCCTCAGGACCGCTTTCGCGCCTTCCCAGACTGAACATGCACCCAGGCACTGAGCATGGCATACCATGGAATGGAACAAAATCCCTTGGCTGCTGTGGGCCGGCTATCTCTGTGTAGGAGAGCAGCTCATACCTGCCTGAAACCAGTACCCAGCATATAATGAATAAGAGAAAAAATACTACTGAGCAGTCTCAGAAAATGTTGATTCTATTCAATGTTCTGGCTGTAACGCTCTTTTGATTGCAGTTCTCCAAGCTGCAGGAGAGAGTGGAGACAGCAGAATCTCGTGTGTCTGTTCTGGAGACTATGATTGATGACCTTCAGTGGGATATTGACAAGATCCGCAAGAGAGAGCAGAAACTCAATCGTCACTTAGCAGATGTTCTGGAACGAGTAAGCACTATCTTTTTTGCCAGGAAACCAAAGAAATGGGTGTAGTTTTGAGATGTGTGACATCATATCATGGTACTTGGCTGTGAGAAGTAAGAGTCTACAGTGTGCCATCTTTGGTCCTGAGTATGCTTTGTCAGCGATCTTGTGATTTAATTTGGTATTGATGAAAGCTTTTGCCTTTTTTGCAGGTAAATTCCAAAGGCTACAAGGTATATGGAGCTGGGAGCAGCCTGTATGGGGGCACGATCACCATTAATGCCCGCAAGGTAATGTCAGTACCTTGATTGTGGGCAAGGGGAATCATATAGTCGGGGGAGCTTGCGCACAGGGCCATAGATCGGAACAGAATTTAGACACCTCCTTTGCGACAAAGCTGTGTGACTCTGGGCAAGGCATTTTGTCTGTGTGAAAGTTTCCTGCTTATCAGACAGACCTGAGGGAAGTATACTTTGTTTCACTTGGCAATGTTACCTGACTGGTAACTCTGTAATTTCTGTTACTGCATAAACAGTTACTTAATTAGTAGCTTCAATAGATACATTAACAATAGGATTCACAAGCAGTTTCCTTTCCACAGTTTGAGGAGATGAACGCAGAGCTGGAAGAGAATAAAGAGCTTGCTGGGAATCGCCTCAGTGAGTTGGAGGAGCTACGGCAGGATCTTGAGGAAGTAACGACACAGAATGAAAAACTCAAGGTGAGACACCTGTACCTGTTTGAGGATGAAGGTGTTCTGTGTGGTTGTTTTCCATCTGGAGAACCTCATTGATCTACTCTGCTCCGTGTTTGCTCTTTGGGCTCGCCGTATTTTGTGCAAGGAGTTTAGCAGGTGTGTGTGACTCACACTTGCTGTTCGGTGCGTTGGTGACACCGTGTGGTCATCACTGGACATTGCAGTGGCGTCTCACTTCCTGATTTCCATTCTAATCTGTTTGGTGCATTTTAATGATGTACAGACATGAAATGAGTTTTAATTGGACAAATACCCTGTACTCCTCTTCCGCCTTCACCGTGCAAGTGGAACCAGGGAACTGAAAAAAATCAGGGAACTTGCGTAGGAGAGCTGGGCTCTTGAAAAGAGTCGGTGAACTCCAACCTTTACCAGTATGGTAGAATGGATAGATAGAAAACAGCATATGAGTTTCTGATGTCTTAGTGCTGGTAACACAAAATGCTGTGAATTTATAGTAGATAAAATTTGTTACTCTTTCTATGATGTACTTGGTGATTGATACGTGTGTGTGGGGTTGACCCAGGGTGGAGGCCAGGTGCCCACTAAAACTGCTCTATTGCTCCCCTCCTCAGCTGGATGGTGAAGAGATAATATAATGAAAAGCTTGTGGGTCGAGATCAGGATAGGGGGCGATCAATCAGCAATTACTGTCACAGGCCAACCAGACTTGACTTTGGGAAAATGTAGTTTATTTATTACCAATCAAATTGGAGTGAAAGAGAACTAAAACCAAAGCTTAAAACAACTTCCTCCCCCACCCCTCGCTCCTTCCAGTTTTAGCTTCATTCCCAATTTCTCCACCTCCTCCCCCTCAAGCAGTGCAGGGGGGGACTGGGAATGGGGGTTGTGGTCAGTTCATCACATGTTGTCTGTGCTGCTCCTTCCTCCTCAGGGGAGGACTCCTCACATTCTGCCCCTGCTCCAGCCTGGGGTCCCTCCCACAAGGGACAGTCCTCCAGTAGCTTTGTAGTGTGAGCCCTTCCCATGGGCTGCAGTTCTTCATGAACTGCTCCAGCCTGGGCTCCTCTCTCCATGCGGCCACAG